TCGTATCAGGTGAAGAATCCTGAAGAATATACACGTACGAACACGAACACGTAAAACACCGAACCGAAAATGCTAGCATTTGTTTGCCACAGGTCGTTTCTCAAACCCCGTAAAGAGAACTGCAACCGCCGCATCATCCTCCATCACGTCAATGCGAGTTCTCACACCGCACACAGAACAAAAGAGTTTTTAGAGCAAGAAAACATAGAATTATTAGACCATCCGCCGTACAGCCCCGACCTAAGCCCTAATGATTTCTATACTTTCCCTAAAATAAAGAATAAATTGGGTGGACAGAGATTTTCATCACCTGAAGAAGCTGTGGACGCCTACAAAACGGCCATTTTGGAGACCTCAACTTCCGAATGGAATGGTTGCTTCAATGATTGGTTCCATCGTATGGAAAAATGTGTCAAATTTCGCGGAGAATACTTCGAAAAGCAATAAATATATTTTTAAAATGTTGTGTCACTTCCTTGATTCCCGAAATTTTCAGTGCCGCTCTCGTAGTTTAACCATCAATGAAATTTTTTAGAAGATACAATAGCATGGCTATAACACCGCGAAGAATACCGTATGAAGACATTATCTGTAGTGTTGAGGATTGTCTGTATAAAAATAATATTGGTAATGAAGATTTAAAGGCCATACGGCAAGACATTTCGTCTATATTACATCGAAGTTTAGCGCCGAAATTAAATCTCGCCAAAACTGTATTTTTATCGCGTTGAAAAACTTATGCAACAGACCAGAGCTTACAATTCTCCGTGCAGATAAAGGTAATGTTACGGTTATAATCACAGAACACCTATTTCTTATCATTCGTGAGTAAAATAATACATTTTTAAATCGATTTTAACAATAAAACCGAAGTCAAAGAAATAATGCACTCAAGTTCTTGGAAAAATATAACTAATGATTTATTTTAATGTAGTTCTTACGGAACATTTTATTTTCATTGCTTGTTGAACTTCAATAAAAAGCAAGCATTATTATTGTGGCAACGCAATGGACATTTTCTAGAATGATACTTCGCCCTGTGTCAACGCATCGTAGTATGGCCGCGGTCGTGGTCTAGTTTTCGGCTAATACGTGAAGGGTAATAATGTCCTCCAGATCCAAACCAAGTTTCGTTCACGGCGGTCAGTTTACAAGGGAGCATATGAACAGAATCAAGAATCTGCGCAGGTCAGGATTATATACATTCGGCGTCAAAAAAATCGCACATCCGAAAAAAATAATTTAAATACTATTTTAACACAACAGGCCAATGGCAATGTTGTGGTTTGAGGGTATCATTCGAAAGGTAATTTCATTAGATTTCAGGAATTTTAATTGAATTTTACTTTTATAACGAGACGAAAGAGAAATTAAAGAAAAAGACAGGGTATGTACAAATTTGCAAATTAATAATTTAAAAAAAAACTTAATAAATACAAAAAAGTTCTTAAAACCCAGTGTTAACCCCCTTGCCTTGATAACGGCTTCCATGTGATCTTTCATGGACCTTACAAGGATCGCAACAGCCTCTTGGGGTATTTGTTCCCACTCTTCAAGTACCGCATCTTGGAGCTCTTGAAGAGTGGTTGGAGCTGGATCTCGAGCTCGCACGCGCCGTTTTAGGTCATCCCAGAAATGTTCTATTGGGTTAAGGTCTGGACTTCGTGCTGGCCAATGCATAACAGGGATATCGACCAATCGGATATGTAGTACCCGAGTATACATGCAAAATAGTAAACTAACGTGACCGGAGAGAGGGATAAGGTCAAGACCAGTGGCTTTAGGTGCCTTCTGAGGTAGGGGGGTAAAACATCGCCAACATCCCGACTCCGGGTTGCTCTGAAAATTTTTTGACAGAAAAAACTAACACCCAAATAACTGATTTTCGTCCAACCCGGGATTCGTTACCGGTATGAACGGGAGGGTCACACCTTCCACCACCTTCCTCATTGTGCCGCAGTATACTGAAGCAAACCCCAAAGGGACTAGACCATAATCATTTGTGCAAAACACAAATTGGTTTTCGGGTTTGGTCGTGTTTTGCTGTATCATGCTTTGATGTAACTCATCCAAAAGTAAAAGCATACCTATAATTAAATATTTTTATATTTAACTTTTTAACATGCAACATTCTATTATGGAAGACAACCCGTGGTCTTTTTTGACCCAGAATATTTGGTACATTTTGTTCTTATTTCTTTCTACCACTCTGTAGGCGGTGCAGCTCGCGAAAAACAGAGGTGAGTGTGATCGTGGGTACCTCGCAATGAATCGGGTCGTATCTAGACCGCTTTTCAGTAATTTAGTTTAGTTTAATAAAAAAAATGCTCAAGGAAGTTTTTAAGTCTAAAATATAGATATTTAAATGCTAATAACATATATCATATGCGGTATTTCTTTAAAATAAAAACGTATGGACCTAGTTTTCATTATATCTACATTTCCAAAAATTATGAGTCATTTTAATAAAAAATTTAAAATACCTTATTGACCAAAGCTTTAATAAAGAATCATTTAGTAGTCAAATTTTACTCTTCAACTAGTAGTGCTAAATTCAATGTACAACTGTACAGCTAACTGCCATCATTGAAACTTGCTTACGATTCATAGAACTTGCTCGAATATTGAAGCTTTCATTGATTTTGAGTTCGCTCAAACATTGTTCGTTGAAACATTGGTTATGTTAGAAATCTCAAAATAAATTTGTGAACTAGATATAAAATTACGAAAAAAATGAGAAAACGTCTCCATACACACACAGTGAGAAAGTTTCACACACAGAGGATTGATATGGATTGAAGACAGAGGTCTAAGTAGAGTTAAAATAGTAATCACTGCAGATTAAGATATTTTACAAGAACTTATCAAGTATATTCAGAATCGATTATAAGCGGTTATAACGAGGTGAGGTAAGGTATTGAAAGTCTCCCGAGGGTTACGAATAAACTTAATTACGTATGTAGATAGGTCATCCATCCCGGGAATCGAGTCTCAACGATTTTCACCTGCTTCGATACCGATACACACGAATGCCGTAAACAGACATAAGTAGATAATATTCATTTATATGAGTCAATTTCAAAAAAATTGCACGTAACACAAAATAACCACAATGGAATTTGTTACACAAAAGAAGATATGTTACACAAAATTTATAAAGCAGTATTCATATGGGATACTTAGAAAATAAAAACACCATTATTCATTTTTAAATACTTTTTCGGATTTTCTACGGGAGAGAGTTGGGGGAGGGAAACACCACGCCACTCAACGTAGCATAGTCGAGGGTAGCCTGGTCGACGGAGTTGATAAATAAATATGTGATATTTTTTTCATTACTTCTAAATGTGCGTTTTTTGTGTAGTTTAACAAAATATATATATATAAACTTCGTTTAACCCCTCAATCCCAACAAAAAATTCCATGCATTCGCATGCACCCGACAAATCCGAGCGGTTGCATGCGACCGCACCCACCAGCAGCACTTAAAACCATTAAAACTTATATTTAGAGACTATTTTCTATGAAGAAGTTTAGCATTATAAAATCTATACAAAATTCTCTATGTAAAAGTCAGTATTTACTTCACTACAAAAATACTATTGTATTTTGATAACAAAAACAAAACATACCAAGCGAATGTCGGCTGCGTGAAAATCACAATTATTTCAACACATATTACTTGACATTATTTATGTCAAAAGATTAATTATATTCACAAAAATACTTTAATTACAATTTTATAATAAAACACTATACTAAAACACTAATAAAACACTAGAAAAATCCAAAAATTAACATAATAACATTCACGCGAAAATGGCGTAGGAAATGAACGTTGATTATAAATAAATATTCATAAGATAACTTGTCTAGAACAGGTAAATGAAATTGTATACTTGGGGAGTGCTTTCAGCCGGGATGGTAGATGTGATTTAGATGTGGACAGGTGTGTCGCTGCCGGGAACAAAGTCAATGGTGCCCTGAATGCGTTAGTCAAAAGGCAAGACGTAGTGAAGAGTGCACGCCTTGCAATACGCGAGACGGGAATTCCGCTGTCAACTGTAAAAAAAGGTTTTTTTAGAAGCTAAATGTGCTTTGGAAGATGGAAGCAAATTTAAATCTCCGAAAAAAACAAGATGCAGCAAAAATATCATTGTGATCGATGATTTTGATAAAGCGGTAATTCGGAGAATACTTCATAACTTTCACATCACCGACAAAGAGGTTCCCACTATAAAAATATTACACGAAAAGTTAAAGGCAGAAATAAATTATCCAGGTGCAATTACGTCATTAAGAAAAGAAGTATCTCTATTAGGATTCAAGTGGAAAAGGACAGAAGATAATCGCAGAATTCTTATGGAGAAACATGAAATACGATATCTTGGAATAATGTTTCTCATTAAAATTGCCGAATATCGCGCTCAGGGCCGCCCAATCGTTTATACTGACGAAACATATATAGACGCGTCTCACACTTCGTCGAAATATTATTCAGATGGAAGCACCTCTGGTTTAAAGAAACCAATTTCTAAGGGAAATCGGTTAATAATAGTTCATACCCAATGCCCTACTCATGTTCAAGGCAAACCAAAAAAGTGGTGACTATCATTATAATATGAACACCGAGAATTACACAAAATGGTTGCAAACGCAGCTAATTCCAAATTTAAAACCGAATAGTGTTGTGGTGGTTGTCAATGCATCATACCACAATTCGTATCAAAATCCCGCGCCCAATTCAAACCATCGTAAACAAGCTATGATTGGCTCAAATATCGAAATATCGATCACTCTGGATCGATGCTTAAACCACAACTTTATCAGTTGATACTACAAAACAAAGCAAGATTTGTTGAATATAAAATTGATAATTTGCTCCAAGAACATGGTCACAGCCTTCTACGTCTACCACCCTGCCACCCTGATTTCAATCCTATTGAAAATATATGGGTAATGGTAAAAGGATACGTAGCTAAAAAAACGTGTCAATGAATATGGACACTATAATGAGATTAACAAAGGAAAAAGTTGACGCGATCACTGTACAAGAGTGGAAAAATGTTTGTGACCATGCAGTTAAAGAAGAAAAAGTATTTGATTGTCTAGACGCTGCTATCGACGGTTTATCGGAGCGATTCATTATTAACACAGGCTCTGATGAGTCATCAGACGAGAGTGAAGATGAAGATGCAATGAGCGGAGAAGAAGAGTTATAATATTGTTATGTAGTTTATTACTGTTATTACTATAATTTAGGATAATCAAAATATCAGCATTAATTTTTATTAAAACATTGATTTTTACTAACTGTACATTTGGCGATCACTCACACAAATGCAAAGCTCAGCTTACGCCGCGAGGACTGTACCATAGCCGACCGAAAGCGAAACGAAGAGATTCGCAATATGGCAAGATTGAAAGATGACCTTATCACAAAAATTGATAGGGGCGTACTCCGATGGTTTGGGCACGTTGAGCGAATGAGTGAAGACCGAATGGTGAAGAAAATATATAGCGCGAAATTAAATGTTAAAGGGTGTCGAGGTAGACCGAGACTAACTTTCGAAGACACTGTGAGCAAATTACTCGAAGAGGGGAAGGTGAAGAGTACTCGGATACCTAGACGTGCATGTATGAAGAAGATAATGAACCTGAAAGAAGCGAAAGAGGTATGTAAGGATCGTGACACTTGGCGATCTGTTCTCTCTGGCTACCCCGTTAGGGATTGTGCGTGAAGATAAGTAAAGTAAAGTAAAGTATAAGATAACTTGACTTTTTATTGCATTAGAGGATAGGTTATTTCATATTGATTCTATAATGCTAAACTTATTCATAGAAAAGTTTTCTCTAAATATAAGTTTTAATGGTTTAATGTGCTGTGGGTGTGCGCGGTCGAATCCGACCGCTTGGATTTTGACAGAATAGTGCCGCGGTCAGATTCGAACGTTTGAGGACTGAAGAGTTAATTCTTTGCCATCATTTTCAAAAGTTTTTATGAACGATTATATTCGAAGAAGTGCGTTTATGATCACATTTAAAGTCATAAAACTATATGAAATCTTCATGTGAGATATTTTCCATATTTTTTTTTATAAATCCGTCATAAAAATAAATATTTTAGAAAAAATTTTTCGAAATCGGAGGATTTTTCGATTTTATAGAGCCGAAAAACGAGGGGACCGCGAAAGTATAAAATTACCATAAGAAAGTACCTAAACGAACGAAAGAAGGCAAAAACGAAGACAAAAAACATAATCCTTTAAAGAATAAACAGAAAGAAAAACTTGCACTACGTTTGTATAAAGTGGTCGTGCTTACCCCTTCGCCAGCAATTATATAACGTAAATTGCAAAACTTAAAATCTAAGAGCAACAGAAATTATTAACAGATGTCAATGTCGTCTTACGAATTCATTAACATTTTTTAAGGTATCCCGCTGAAACAAATAAATTGAGCCAAATAAGTTTTTTAAACCCAGTATTTTTTTACTTATTCAATAACCTATGCGCACAACAACTCACCAACATTTTAACGTAACCGGATGAATGGTATAGAAGCGCAAGCGGAACAAACATGCAAATATAATTTTTTATATACATAAAAAACTGTGTACAGAGCTTAAGGTTTGTTTTTTTGTGTAACGTAACATAATGTCACCCAAAAATAGTGAAAATACTTGTGACAAAAGCCACAAAAAAATCTACGAAAAAAAGTATACTTAACGAATTTTACAAATCAAACTCTAGCAAATGTTAGATGTTTAAATTATCTATTACGGTAAGAAATATAATAATGCAAAACACTAAACTTAGCAGAATTATTTGCGTCACTTGGTGGGGATTTTTTTTACCGACGAAATTCGTGTGAGACGCTCACAGTGTGACTGACACTAAAATAAGATGGCTGCCACATCTCCTTGTAAATTTGGTAGTAGATTAAATGTTGCCAGATTTATGAAAATTACTAGAGCGTTCCAAATATCTATATTAAGGCCATAGCACCGTCACACAAGCGTCGTTACACAAAATACCGAATTATGGGACAACATTTCGAATTTAAATTTAATAATGAAATCACTCTTAAATAAAATTTAAAATTGTTTTATTATACAACCGTAACCCTGCCTAAATATATTTGATGAAGTTTTTTCGTTAGCTCTGCAAATAATAGAGTTATGGCACAATGATCAACTAATTCGGCGAGGTGGACATCACATTTTTGTATGGGGAAAAAATTATCCTCATAAACATTTTTTTTGTGTATCCATGAACTAATTAAAGTAGATAAAAAAATTATTTATAATAAGTAAACAGCTTAAGCTTGATACAAAAATATTTGATTTGTAAATTATTTCTATAGCCGTTTAAAGACCGAGGACAGTTTTTTTTACAAATGTACAATTTTTTTGAAATTGACTCATATACTATTGGTACGTATGACAGTGTAAGCAGTTAAATAATTTCTTACATTATAATTACTATTTTTTTTCATCAAAATAGTTAACTTGTTGAAAGTAAGTTCTGTATAACATTGCATTGTTTTCAAATTTATTCCTTCACATGAGTTGTGAAATCTTGCTTCTTACCTAATTTCCTGATTCTAGGTTAACGGGAAATCATATATGTTTTGATGATTGAGTTTGCAAGTATCAAAATATGTGACATAAATGGGCAGAAGGTCGCATTGTCTACACCTCCAAGGAACTACAAACCTTAATATTTGATATTAATTTCACTTGATACCTGTGCCAGTTTCCGATAAAAAAAGTGTTAACAGCCGGACAGACGGATGCACAGGTGGACAGACGGACAACAAAGTGGTCCTATAAGGGTTTCCGTTTTTTATCTTAGCGGTAACGAACTATTAAAACAAGATCTCCTAATGATTATAATTTCAAATAAGATTTGAATGAAAATTACGTAATCAATTAAAAATGGTTGTCTGAGTCGGTTTACGGACGATAATTTAACGTGACAACGTCATTACAAAGCATTGTTAAATAACAAAACATTGTTAAATGATTGCATACTTTTATGATGATAAAATTGAATTATTTTTATCGAATTATCACTATTTTGTATTGATACAAAGAAGGAGTGAAATTAAATCTACATTGGCTTGAGCGTTCGGCTTGCGCCGAACGGTTAAGCCGATCGTGCCTTTCGCTTATTCGTGCCGCGTTTTCGATCCGATCTTGCTCGGTTTGGCTGGAGCGTAACGGGACAATAAGTCATCAATTTTCGTGCATGCAGTCGGCTTTCGTCGAAACATTTCTTAGTAAACATTACGTTATACATATACAGAATGTCTTGTTAAGGCGCTACCTCCAGCGAACGACCTTGAGCGTTTGGTCTGTCGACGCTCGCTACAATATATCGCGTAAGAAATCGCCAAAAGACGCCACCTGCTGCTACGAACGTAGTATTATTTTTTTCAATGTCAATGAACTCTTCTATGGAAATAGACACGGCGTACAATGATAAATGTATTTTAATTTTCTTTATTCGGTATATTAGTTGCATTATATTAGAATTATGTATTCTAAATAACTATTTTGATTATTTTTAACTATATACTATACTGCTAATATTGAATTAGCTTTTTATAGTGTAAATTATAATATTTGTCGAAATATTAATTATGGATTCGAACTTTACATGCTAATGGTGCTTCATTTTTGTTATTTTCATTTACTTACATATTGAAAATATACTTGAATAGTAGTTATTATTATTTTATTTAGCTACTGAATTTTAGGATATGTTTTACCTTGAGGTCAAATATAATTTTGAGGAGCAATAGTTATTACCTACTAATCTTTTATCTGCTATTCCTTATTTAGGAGCAATATTAATAAATTGAGTTTGAGGGAGATTTACTGTTTATAATGCTACAATTATTATTTTAATATTTACCTACTGGGTAGGTAATTATTAAAATAATAAATATAGCATTAGTAACTAAATAGATATTTTTTTTAAATTTTTAAAATTAAAATTTTCGTATTTTTTAAAATTACTAAAAAAAAGGGTTTGAAATAATAAATTTTCTCACAAAAGAAGGGAACTTGAAAAAAAAGGAAAAAAAAGCGGGACTAAAGCCAAGACGCGAACCACGGAACTCCGATATCACGCCCGACCGACATACCACCTGAGCTATAACGACCGTTAATGGTTAGTCCAAATTTACCTTCTTATATTGTAGCAGTTTTTTTATTGCCTGAAAACATGATGACAAAAGGATGACAAAAGGACATTTTCTAAAAATAAATCCAAGCGTTCGTCGCTAAAATCGTTGGAGCCGTATAATTTTCTCATCTGGTTCGGTTATATAAATATTTAAATATATAAAAATTATAAATTAAAATGAAAAGATAAATATACATTAATATCAATAAAATAAAATAAATACAAAGTAATATTATATTATTATTGTTATTATTATTATTATAAGTTGTGGTTCGGTGAAGCTGCAACCTAATGGACCATGATATGAGAAGTGGTTGTTGACGTCAATTATTATTATTCTTATTATTTTTTTCATTACTACCTTTTTCAACCTCACAAGATATTTGTAACTGCAAAAAAAAAAAACTACGTATAAGTAAGTAAATCAGTAATATAGTGTTATGCATGATTCAGACTAAATAAAGGTTCCTAAAAATAGACGTAGATAAAGAAATTGCATAAAAAATTACTCAAATAAAAATGCAATAAACTTGTTAATTTTATAGGTACTTAGTAAAATATTAAAATAATAAGTTTTTTAGGATATTTATGTAAAATATAAAGGTTATATTATGTTCTAACTACGTTCACGCTTGCGCATATAAAACCACGGAATTTCACTAGTTTTATTATCAAAATAATAATTGTCAACCCTACCCTAAGTTTGCCTTGATTTTACCAACTCAAACTCGTTTTAGGAGATCAAAACATAGAGAGAAAGATAGGAGACTATTTTTTATTTAATATGGTTGGATCTCTATTTATTTGTATATTTTTTGTATTTATTTTATTTTATTGATATTTATGTATATTTATATTTTCATTTTAATTTATATTTATAAAAACCAACCAGATGAGAAAACTATACAGATACCCCAACAATAATAATATAATAATAATAATATTCCACAAATATTACACAACGCCATCCAGTCCCAAGCTAAGCAGAGCTTGTGTTATGGGTACTAGACAACTGATAAACATACTTA